TCATGTTCTTTGTGCTCTGAAGCATCTGTTCAGGTAGACGGCGAGAGGCACTGAATAGCAACAGCCAGAGGGACTGGAGGGAGACTTGGGGAGAACTTCCTAGAAAGGCATTTAAGAGACTAATAATGCAGTGTGATTCTGAGACACTCAAAAATATCTATGCCAGGATTGTAGGAGAAGGGATGACAGATATCTTCAGGGCTGGAAACCAAACAGACTAGGAGGTGGAATTCTGTAAGTTTTCCCAGAGCAGGTGAAGAACTTTTTCCAGGTTGTGGCTGCTGTTTTCAGACACAGATGTTTCAAGCCCTCCCATTTCCAGGGTTGGCCCAGAGAAAAACCATTAAGGGGCCCAAACTGCTTCATGGGTACCCTTCAAGTGTCTTCTCTCTTCTCTCCCCAGAACCCCTTTGGAGTGCAGGATTCCAGGGTCTTCAAGACCTCTGGACCCCCAGATGGCCATTGATATGGGCCTTTGCCCAGTCATACCCAGGTTTCTGGTGCCCCCATCTGGGCCCTGGCCTGTGGGTCTGTGTTTCTAGGGCTTCTGTCTCTGAAGGAAAAATGGCAGCCAAAGGAGCCCCATCCCTGCCCGTGCGGAAGCTCTGTGACATCACTTTCCCCAATGGGGAAGACGTGGGATCTGACGTGGCCTGCAGTGCCAGCGGTCACTTCTCTGGCTGGGACACTCTTCCCTTCGGCGGACTTTCCTGGAAAACACCTCATCTCGGCCACCCAGGGCCCTCTGGATTCCATCCTCGAGGCCTAAGCATTCATTTTTAATTCAGCAGCGTGGACGGGAGACCCTGCTCTGGGAGCCTGGGGTCCGGCTACCACCGACTTGCTATGTGACCGCGAGCAAGGACCTGTTCCCCTCTGAGGAGACCTTGAGGTCTGATTCTTAGGAATGACTCCGCTGCGGAAGGGCTACTGTATCTTGCTAGATGTCCCCACTGCGGAAAGTGACGTAGAAGGGTGATCTCACCACGTTCTCCCACTCGCCTCTGAGAGGGGTGCCGGTGGAAGCCCCGATCTCCAGATGGGGAAACCGAGGCTTGGGGATCAGTGACTTATTCAACTCACCCAATAGTAAGAGTCAGGTCAGAAAGGATGCTCGATTCCGGTATCCGTGTACTTTCCACCTCACTAAACTGAGAGATGGATGGGCAGGAGGGGGAACCTGGGACATTTGGAGAAATACCAAGTGACTCTGGGGAGGAGTGGAGGGTGAACCATTACCAGGTGGCACTGGGGCCCAGCAGACCTCAGCCTAGGTTAATGAGTACGGGTCCCTTGTCACACTCCCTGAGAAGGAGGGAAAGGTGAGATTTCCACAAGGTTCAAGGAAAAAGTGAGTGGGGAGCCCGTGGAGGTGGCCCCTTAGATTTTCTCTCTGCTTTTCACTTGCTGAGGGAGCTTAGAGTCAAGCTTCAGCTTCTTTATTTATCCAGAGGAGATGAAGTAATCCCTGGTTGATAGCATTGTCCCGAAGATGAAGAAGAACATTTTATTCAACATAAATATTTATTGACCAACCCTTTGATATGTGCCAGATATTGATTTGGGGCTTAGGGATCAAGAAGCACCAAACCCAAAAATCCTTGCTCTCAGAGAGCTGATGTTGGGTAAAGGAAAGAAAAAACAATAAATAAAGCATATGTAGTGAGACACAGATGACCAAAGAGACAGAATATGGCAGAGAGGTTAGGGCAGGTGGGCAGAGAAGGACCACACATCCTTTGGTAAAGCTGTGGTGGTAGTAAGGGAGCTAGTCATCTGGGTGTTTAGGTGGAAGGGGATTTCAAGAAGAGGGAACAGCATCTGCAGAGACCCTGAGGCCGGGAGTGCCTTATATGCAGGTAGAACAGCAGGGAGGTCCACGGGACTGGAGCGGGGAAGCAAGGGGAGAGTTTTTGGAGAGACCGTGGTGGTGAGGACCTTGTAGATCAGAGCAAGGACTTAGGATTTTGCTCAGAGAAGTCCATGGTCTTGAGATGGAATTGAAGGACCTGACCCTCCCACCCCAAAGGGGTGTTTTTCTGCTTTTTGTGATCCCTCCTTTCTAGAACAGATTGCTGTTTCTTTCCCATGGCGAAGCTGCTGGGAGCAGGGGTCAGCACACCAGGCTGTTTGAGAGACAGTTACCAGACCCCTTCCTCATGCCCAGTCACTCTGGGGCAGCTGCTGCTGCTTTGGGATAAAGATGGGTGGCACTGGGACCTGAAGCATAGGGGGAGGGGTGGCAGGGATCAGAGATGAGACTGCACCATCTGTGACGTCAGGGACCAGCCCCAACTACTCCAGGATGGTCCGAGGAGGCAGAGAGGAGCATGGCACGTCCCCTTCACATCTGCGGTAGCCTTCCATCCTGCAGCTGCTTTAAACATCCTCTCTCCAGTCCAGAGATGCACCTCCCAGATCTGTGACAGCCAGGACAGGCAGCTCAGCAGCCTTCACAGACTGGCATGACGGCACAGAACGTCTGCAGTTAGCAACCAGGAAACTGCACGTGCCTGAGCCTGGCCCGTCTCTCTGCATCACTAGCACTGCTCTTACCTCATCAGCCTGACTAGAAAGCTCCATCCCAGGCCCTGCTCCCCTTTATGCTGTAGCACAAGCTCCAGTAAAGCCTCCTTTGAATGGTTTTATTTTGCCTATCTGTAATTTCTGTCTAAATTGAGCGGGCTGAGCTGGTTGCTAAGCTGGTAACGTTAAGGGCCGCCAACAGCCAGGACTGCCAATGCTCACAGCTGAGAGCCACGAGAGAGCTGCTAACACGAAGGGAGCTTCACTCCGCCTTTCTGTGATTTGTATCTGAATTGAACAAAAGAACCCTTGGCCAGTTGGTAACAGTCTGACTTAAGTCTGGCTAACTCTGCTGGGGAACAGATTTCAGGGGGCAAAAAGCCGAGGTAGAAAGTCCAGACAGAAGGCCACAAAATACTCTCATGGAGTGGAAGTGGTGTTTTGGAACAGGGCAGAGAATGAGACAGATTCTGGATAGCCTGAGATACAAGTGATGGGTTTGCCAGACCCAGGTGTTAGTCAGGGAAGACTCTAAGGTTTCAAGTAGGAAGATTTGGAATGCTAGAGTAAGAGATGGGTAAGAGATGGGTAGGAGAGGAGATGGGGCGGAATGATTTGCAGGAAGAGATAATATCAGGCACTCAGCTCTGTACAAGTGTATATAAACTGACTATTAAACACCCAAGTGGAGAAACCAAGCAGATTAAGATGCAGGAGACAGATCTACTCTGGAGATGCACAGGTGAGGGTCGCTGGCAAGGTGGTTACGACCTTCGATGAGACCATGTGCAGAGTGAGTGGACCCGAAGGCTCTAGGGCCAGTCTGTCCATAAACTTGGCTAGGAGGAATGATGTTACATCACGTAAGATTCCAGGACCATGCACAGTTAATGATTAGCTGTGCTCTCCACCAAGTCTGGAGAAATTAAGTTCAGGGGCTCTCTGCATGATTACTGTGCTCTTCTTAAAGGCTTTGGGGACACTCACGCTGCTCATTCAGGAAGAGAGTGGACCAAGGGATCCCCAGAGAGACTTCCAGAAAGAACTCAGCAGGTGAGCGCTGCTGTCAGGAATGGAAGATGGGGTGCTGCCTCTTGGTGTCACCAACCTTTAGGAGTTATTGTTAACAAGGAGAGTGACACTTCATGGAGAAAGAGCGTCTGCCAGGTCTTAGTGAGGAAGCAACCTGGGAAGAGGAAGGGGTGATAGTAGCATAGCTAATGGGAGGGACTGTGGAGCTGGGAGGAGGGTGGTCAGGTAAGAGCTGGGTGGCCATCAGGAAAGGTGGCCTGTCTGAGAAGGTGAGGACCGAAGGAGGTGCAAGAGCCAGTCATGGAAAGAGAGAGGCACCCGCAGGTACAGAAGCAGTATATATATTCCTGCTGAGGATCCAGGTATTAGGGAACCTTAGCCTGTTATTCCTTTAGAAAATAGGAGAGATTGCGCATGTCCCAGAGATTTTGAGTATTCTGGAAGCTGCTGCCTCAACAAACATGTCTTGGAGTTGAGCCAGTTGACTGTCCTGCCGGCTGGATTTCTGGAATCAAGGGTTGTTAGACTTAAATTCTGCAACATCATCAGGGCACACATGTTGGGACTCAAAGGCCAACCAGTTGTGAAACTACTTTCCCTGGGGCCAATGTATATGGGAACAATAATCACGACAGCTAGACCTTGGGAAGTGATTGTCTTAGGTCCTGGGTAGCAGGTCCATAGTAGTTAAGATATCGGTCAAGTATCGGTCAAGTTTCAGTTTCAAGAAATAGATGCTCCTTGTATTAGTCAGCAGGGGATACACTAACCAACATCCAAATCATCCGGGTAGCTTTTAACCATTCATGTTTTCCCTCTGTGGGTCTGAGGGTTGTCTGTGGCTAGCCCTAACATTCTGGGCCCCACGATAAAGGGAAAATACCCATCTTGGATATGCAATTCTCATAGAGAGAATAGACATGCAAGAGTAAGACCAACCCACTCTCATTCCACTGACCAGAGCATACCGCGTGGGAAGGCCAAGGTCCATGGCAGGGGTATACATGCTATTCTTTCAGATTACACTGGGAAATCACATGGAAGTGAATGAGGAGAGAGAGAGAGAAGGAGAGAGGGGGAGAGAGAGAGACAGACAGACATAGATATAGATATAGATATAGATATAGATATAGATATAGTCTCACTACAGGAATCAAATTGCCAGGAACAATAATACAATCTACTACTCCCTGTATTTTAAGCACAAAGGGACTCATTATTGAAATTGGATGTCACAGAAGCGTCAGAAATATTGAACAGGTGCCTTCAGAGAATGAGGCATATTAGAAGGACGCTGAAACAGATTCTGAGAGCCAATCCCACTCATGACTACCACAAGTCAACTCCTGGAGAGAGCCCGGTGAGGTTGAGATGATGATTCATAGAGCAATCTTCTAAGGAAAGGCTCAGCCCCACCTCTCCTTTCCTTCACAGATCCAAACATGCACTGGCTGCAAAAACTTCAGAGACTTTATACCCTATGGAGTCCTGAGATGTCCAGGTACACTCTCCACGTTACCGTCAGGCAACTGTCGTCCATACCGTGGGGCCACCAAGATGTGCCAGAGAAGTTTAACTTTGCTAGCAACGTGATCGATCACTGGGCTGGTATGGAAAAGGTAAGAGGGAGAGAAGAGGCACTGGGGGGGATGGTTTGGCTGGCTTCATTAATTCTTCCATTCACTCGATAAATATTTACTGAATGCTTACGTATCAGTCCCCGTAAGAAGCTATGAACAGGATGCTCATCGCCCATAGTGGGAAAATGAGACAGGTATGGGTTTGGCAGACAGAAAGGCACCGGGAGCCTGGCACAGAATGGTGCCATCCGGTAACCCCTGGAAGATGGAGCAGCCTCTGTTCTGAACCCCAAGAGCAAACCAAGAGCAAGTGGGCTGGGGTCACAGAAGAAATGGGTTTGGGTTTGAGAAGAGCAAATCTGAGCCAGTCTTCTCGAAAGTTGGGTCACACATCTGTCATCAGGGACGTGCAAGTAGGATGTCCACCAAGCAGAGATTTCGAAAGGGCTCCCTCCTGAGACAGCAAAGAGAGAGAGAGTGGTGTACATTTTCTGAGTTCTCCTGAGCTTCTAGAATTCCAACCCAGTTGGTGCTGATGCACCTTCATCTGAAGCCTTGTGCACATGACTGGGGATGGAGGAGTCCACCCAAGGTAGGATAAGCAAAGGCGTAGATTTGCCAGAATGGGCTTTAAACAAGGGCTCTCTCAAAGGTGGCCACAATGGTGACTTTGCCCTGAAGTTCCAACACTGTGACACAACACCTGGCCCCCAGGCCGATGATAGAACCTAGGTTCAGGTGCTCTGGGAAAAAAAAAAAAAGTTGGGTCCACGTTTTAAAATGAAAATTTTTAAAATAAAATTTCTATCTCTGGATTTCCTTTAAAAGTCATATCTCCTTGGAATACGGAGGAAAGGCCCAACCAGCTCAACTCACAATTCTGAATCCATAAAAGAAATGTTTTAATAAAAATCTGTGCATAAAGATCAAAAGAACCTTTCTATCAATAACACCATAAGAAAATGAAAACTAATCCAAACCAGGGGGAAAATGTTCGATTCAAGTAATAGAAGAAAAAAAAAAAGATATATATATCCCCAATATAAAAGATATATATATATATATATCCCCAATATAAAAGAGTTCCCATATATATATATATCCCCAATATAAAAGAGTTCCCATAAAACAAGAAAAAAAGAGGCTTTACTCAAAATAAGAGGACAAAGAATATAAGCAGACAGTTCACTGAAAAATGAACTCAAATGACTACTCAACATACGGAAAAGAATACTCAACTATCGTTGAGAGGATGGCAAAATTTCTTCACTGAAATCATATTTTATTCCTGTCACATTAGTTGATTACCACAGTTTGACAACACAGGAGAGAACACATTCTTAGCACAAAGTCATATCACTCTCGTGGAATTTTGAAATATTTGTGTTTCCTCTTTTGCTTCCTGTTGGTCTTCAGTTATGACCCGGGAACCCCCTGAGATGACACAAGATTCAGGGGATCTGTGGAGTGAAAAACTATTTCAAAAATAAACCTTGGAGAAAATAGAATATCTGTGCATCGCTGGTGGGAACGTAAAGTGGTGGCGCTACGATGGAAAATAATATGGTCATTCCTCAAAATCTGAAAAAAGTAGAATTACCATATAAAGCAATCCCACTCCTGACCCCCCAAAATAAAACGCCATATAGTGCATCCATCGTACCAGTGGGTTTATACTCAAAAGAATCCAAAGGAGTATGTCAAAGAGATATTCATACAACCAGATTCATAGTCGCTGTGTTCAAAATAGCCAAAAGGTCAGGACAACTCAAATGTCCATTAACAGATGAATAGATACAAAAGTGTAGACTCTCCATACAATGGAATATGATTCGACCCTCAAAAAGAAGGGAGTTCTGACACTTGCGTCTACAAAGAGGAGCCTTGAGGACCTCATTCTGAGTGAAATAAGCCAGTGTATGATTTGGAAGAGTCAGATTCATAGAGACAGAAAGTAGATGGGTGGTGACAGAGTCTAAGTGAGTAGGGATGAGGGGTAATTGTCTGAAGGGTCCAGAGTTTCAGTTTTAGATAATGGAGAGTTTTCTCCAGATGGTGATGGTTGTGCAAGGTGAAAGGACTTAATGTCCCTGGACTATACAACTGGAAATAGCTAAAATGGGGAGAGGAGAAGGAGAGGAAGAGGCTGATCAGGGTAGTAACTAAGTTGCAGTTAGATGGGGTAAGAAGTTCTGGTTTTCTACTGTCCAGTGGTGACCAGAGACAACTGGGTATTTTACGAGATTAAGAGAGGATTTCGGATGTTTTCACCATAGAGAAATGATAGGCATTCAAGGAGACAGATAGGCTCACCCTGATTTAAAGGTGTACGCGTGTACTGAGCCATCACGGGTGCCCATAAGTAGGCACAATTTTTATGTTTTTATGTATCCGTTAAAAAACAAACATACATTGAAAAGTAAATGTAAAATTATGCTACTTCTTTCTCTCTTTCCTATTTCTTGTGTTTTATTTATTTATTTTTTCTTTTTTGAGGGGAAATACACTGACTTTTTTATTTCAAAAATTCTAATCATTGGGGCTGGGATTGTAGCTCAGTGGTAGAGCGCTTGCCTCGCGAGTCTGAGGCACTGGGTTCGATCCTCAGCACCACCTAAAAATAAATAAATGAATCATACTAATCATGATGAGATATCATCATGCTGCTCAGAAGAGTTTGCAATTTAGAAATCATGAATGGTTTATGTCTGGAACTTTCTATTTCATGTTTTTGGACTGTCGTGGACAGCAGGGTACTCATTCAGCAGACAGCAAAGCCTTGAACAAGGAGTGACTAGTGAATTAAGAAGCAGAATAGTGTCATTTTGAAGCGGTCTTGTGTTAATTGTACTGTAACACGCGGCCTATGACATTTCAGCCCCTGACGGATCAATGACACGGTGGTGATCCTATAAGATTATATGGTCTAGTGACGTCATGAGGTCGGGCTCTCTTAGCTTGTACCACAGTGTACACAGCCCTGAAGCTGCCAACGACACATTTCCCAGAACCCACCCTTGGCTTATTACTGTCACTTCTTAAAAACACATATTTTTTGAATTCTCAGTTTGGGTTTCTAGCATGGTAAATATTGACAGATCTAACTCTAAAAAATAAAAAAGCAACACTTGAAGGTTTTCAAGACCTTTTAAGAGCCTGTGGGGGTCCCGAGAGCTTGCCAGGCCTTGACGTAGCGAGCCCAAGACCTGGGGTCTGTCTCTGGGCTGGTCCCCGACCCTGAGTTAGCCGCAGGCTTCTGTCTTCAGGCTGGGAAGAGGCCTCCAGGCCCAGCCCTGTGGTGGGTGAGCGGCGATGGGGACGAGATCAAGTGGAACTTCAGAGAACTGAGTGAAGTCAGCCAGCAGGCTGCCAACGTCCTCTCGGGGGCCTGCCACTTGCAGCGTGGGGACCGTGTGGCCGTGGTGCTGCCCCGAGTGCCTGAGTGGTGGCTGGTGACCCTGGGCTGCTTCCGAGCAGGTTGGTAACGGCCCCGCGGGCGGGCAGCCGCCTCTTTCCCGGGGCAGAGACACACAGCTGCCTCTGCGCAGAGCAGCCCTCCGGGAAGTGTGCCTCCCGCTCTCCCCCTGGGTCCCCGTTCCTCAGCGGCTGGCCACCGTCCCGCCCTTCCTCCCAGCTCCGTCTGAACCATTTGGCTTCCCCAGGCCTCATCTTCATGCCTGGGACTGTCCAGATGAAGTCCAAAGACATACTCTACAGGCTGCAGGCGTCCAAGGCCAGGGCCATCGTGGCTGGGGACGAGGTGGCCCAAGAAGTGGACACAGTGGCATCCGACTGCCCTTCCCTGAGAATCAAGCTACTGGTGTCTGAGAAAAGCCGGGACGGGTGGCTGGACTTCAGGACCCTGATGCGGTGAGTCTCGGCACGTCTGGGCCTGGCTGCTCACCAAAAGTGGGAACCGAGCCAAACACTCGCAGGCAGGTGCTTTATTGGGGTGGGGGCGCTCAGGAAGCAGAGCGGGGGACTTGGGAGAGAAGAGCGGGCAGGAAGGTCATTTCAAGGGCTAAGTGGAGCTTTGTGTGGGGGACCTTCTGAGGAAAACACAGGAAACTTCCAGGATTTTCCAAGAAAGAACTGATAAGGTAACCTCCACGGGTTCAGGGTTGTGGCAACCGCGGCTCAAACCCGCGTGAGGCCAGCAGTATGCGAGGCCAAGCCTAAGAGACGGCCGATGTACTGAGTCTCCAGCACCTTCTCACCTCTGCATCCCTAAGCAAGGCTTTCCAGGGGTCCTTCCAAAGGTCCATAGCAAGACTCACCAATGAATGTGTTTCCCTGTCACATGTCTGAAATCCCTCCACGAGGGACATTTTCCTTTCTAATGTCATGGTCTTTAAGGTAACTGTCAGAAATAAAGTGACATCAGCTTCAAAATCAGGGTGCTGGGGGAGATGTCTGAGAGATGTGTAGGGGATTTTAGTGAATAAAAGAGGACATCAAGAAAGCATTGGGGGAAAAAAAGAAAGAAAGAAAGAAAGCATCGGGGCCCGGATGCGGTGGCACATACTTATAATCTCAGTGGCTCGGGAGGCTGAGGCAGGAAGATCACAAGTTCAAAGCCAGCCTCAGCAAAAGCAAGGCACTGAGCAACTCACTGAGACCCTGTCTCTAAATAAAATATGAAGTAGGGCTGGGGATGGGGCTCAGTGGTCCAGTGCCCCTGAGTTCAATCCCTGGTATCCCCGCCCCCCCAAAAAAGAAAGCATTGGGAACACCCACTGCCCCCCCTCCTGTGCACCACAATCAGATTAGTATTTATGAAGTTTCTACTAAGCACAGTGAATACTGCCTTTGTGGTAGAGGTCATTTTCTCAGTGACTCTGTGAGACAAGTTGTACTGATCCCCTTTCACAGGTATGGAAAGTGAGACTTGAAGAAGTTAAATGACTAGTACAAACTGACACAGTTAACAAAGTGCCAAACCTGAGTGGTTTTCACTTCCAATCTGACTAACTCAGAATCCCATGATCCTAACTACTCAATGGCCACCCCCTTCTGAAGTGGATCAAGTGGCTTACCCTGGGAGCTGGTGGGCAAAATGAGTCACTGTGACATCTGGTGTCCAGGCTAGATGTAAGAAGGTGATATTCTGTGTCTCCATCAGAGAGGCACCCACCACTCATCGCTGTGTGGAGACCAGAAGCCAAGAAGCAGCTGCCATTTACTTCACTAGTGGAACCAGTGGCCCTCCCAAGATGGCGGAACACTCCCACTCCAGCCTGGGCATCAAGGCCCAGATGGATGCTGGGTAAGCCACGCCCCTCCCCTCCCAGAGAGCCCAGGGACCAGACATACAGGCTTTCCTGAGGGTAGATCTGACCCTTCTTGGGAGTTTCTGAGGAAGACAACTGGGGAGGGGGTCTTAAGAAGCAAGGCTTCCCATACCGGGAATCCAGCGCTCTTCAGGGTGATGTTTCCATTACAGGTGATTCCAAATCTCAAAACCTCTTCCAGGTTTTGAACCATGTGGCTAGTAGGGTAAAACGTTGAGCAGTAAAGTTCATATGCATTTTTCCCAGAACAATCTCTATCTTGTTTTGTGGGGTGCTGCCAATTGACTTTGATGGTACCAGTATTCCAAGAGGACATTTTTTTGTTAACAGAAAAATTGCTTTGCAAATCCATTAAAATGGAAGGTGGAGTTGGATGAGTTAAATGAGCTGAGATCTCAGAGTTTTTGGATCACAGACCACATAATTCAGAAATGTATTCCAGTCCTGCATCAGCCTGATCTGTGAAATCAGGAAACACTATGGCAAGGTCTTCATGCAATTATAAGAAGGAATCTTCTGACATCTTTGGGATCTGGCCTGTTATGTGAATTTTATTATGTTATTAGAGTGGAAAAATACTTTCAGGGGAAAAAAAAAACCTGTAAAAACTTTATTGTCCTACTTACGAGCTCATTGTATCAGCAAATGTAATTAATTATACAAATTATTTAATAGCTGAGCTGTAGGGAAATGCCATTTTTAAACAATGGAGGATACATTATTTAAATATAGGTAATATATTCATTCACACCCCCTCTCCAACTTTGGTCCTAATAGGCCTGATTTCCTACGGAGCTGAAAATATTAATCTGCAAGAAAGGGCACCTACTGTGGTGACCATCAGCCTCAGGGAAGTGGTCCTGACGTCTTCCTGTCCAGTCTAAATGATTCTTGCTTTAAGACAGGGTTAATACCTCTCACTCTGAGCTGAAGAGATAAAGGCAACTAGTGTTACCTGTTCATGATGCTTGGAGAAATGAAAACCCACGTTCTGCTCAGTCAAACTTGAACTTGGCCAGGCCCTTGTGAGACTATTACTTAGATGACTCTTGTTAGCACGCTAATCCTGGGTGGTTACCACATGTGACGCTGTACTAAGTTCTGAGGATAAAAGGAGAACACATAAGACCCAAGTGTCTATTCAGTCATATCTGCTGGGGTCACATTTAGAACACTTGATCCCTCTCGACAGACTGTGCAGAAAAACAACTTCCCTGCCCTCTCCCTGCTTACACGTACGCACATTCCTATAAACAAACGGGCAGACACGCACACACCTGTGCACACACACCCTGTGCCAGCGTGCTCTCTCCCGGATGGATGTGTGCTTTCTCTGTGCCCAGCACCTGGACAGGCATGCGAGCTTCGGACATCATATGGACCGTATCAGACCCGGGTTGGATCCTGAACATTTTGACCTCAGTTCTGGAACCTTGGACATTGGGAGCTTGCATATTTATCCATCTTTTGCCCAAGTTTGACCCCCAGACCATTCTGAAGGTAAGAGAAGACCCACTTTGCATTGATTGGTCAGGATGAGCCCAGGGTTTGTATGCGCCCATTTAGGGCAGTGGATTTCCATTCATATCATTTTTGCTAGAGCCCAGCCCACGTGAGCGGGCTTGGTGAGCAACATAGAAATGGTCCCTGACCCAAGTGGCCCCAAGTGTCCAACTTGAAAATAATTTACCCACGTTCGACGTTGTCTTAGTCAACTTGGGTTGCTACGATAAAAATACCCCAGAGAGACTAAGACCCCACTTTTTTCTCACGGTTCTGGAGGCTGGAAATCCGAGATCATTGTAACAGTGTGGTTGGATTCTGGGTGAGGGTCCTCTTTCTGGTTTGCAAGTGAGTGCCTTCTTGAGAGAGAGAATCTCTTCCTCTTCTTACAAGGGCACTAATGCATCTTTGGGGCACCCCTCTCATTACCTGATATAATTACCTCCCACCTTCAAATACCATCACATGAAAGGTTGGGGCTCCATTATATGCATATGGAACATTCCATTCATCTCAGACGCCCAGGTAACCACCATTAAATCCAGACACGAAACATCTCCATCCGTGCAGAAGGTGCACACACCCTTTCCTGACCATATCCTCACCCGAGATGTTCCTTATTCTTTTGACTTCTACCACCACAAAGTAATTTGGCCCCTTCTTGTACTTTATATAAGTGGACTCATACAACACATAATCTTTTGTGTTTGATTTTTTTTTTTCACTCAACCTGTTCTCTGTGAGATTTATGCACACTGTTGCATGTATCAGAAGTTTGTTCTTCTAAACTGCTGTATAGTATTCCATTCTGTGAATCAGTCCCAAGTTTCTTCTCCATCTTTTATTGATGGACATTTGAAAGGTGTCCTTTGTCCCTTAGTTTGTTTCTGGAGGCAGCCAGATGAATGTCTGGGTTACCCATGAACTGCTACAGAGATCTGCAGGCCCAAGAAGGCAATGATCCAGCTCCCACAACATAAGCACAGTTCAAATTCGTTAGAGCATTGCAAGCAAAATGAGGCCACTTTTACTGCTTATGGCTACATGTTAACAAATAGTTATAGTTTGTGGATTTTACTTAATGATTTCCCAATCATGTTCTATAGGGAAAAAAATTCAATTTGTTCTTCAGGATTCCTCTTAGATAATACCCCCAAAGTAGACCTAATTCAAAAAAGTCAGGGGTGATCTGGATTACCTCTGGAGATTCTCTTGGAATGACACCATCATTCTGTCTTAAACAGATTATTTTTCCGCTACTTTCCCAAAACAGATTATTCTATTCTGAACTGGTTCTTGCTAAGTTCTGCAAAAAAAAACACAAAAACACAAAGTAAAGCAAAACTTGACAACAGATGTATCTTTGTAAAATCCACTTGGAAAACATACGTTGGTGGAATTGAGCAGATTCACAAAGGAGAGGAGAGAAGATGTTCAGCAAATAAGTAGGTCAATGCAAGTTGAGCTTCCTGCGCGGCAGGAACGTAGGGTGATTTTTGTAGCTTACGCTAGTTCATCGAGAGCCCCTGAGTGAACCGACCGTGTGGTGCTCTCGCGTTAGTATTTTTTTTTTCCTAGACATTTTGCTTAAACTGCTCTTCAGTTCTGGACAATCCTTCTCCTGGACTGAAGCTGATATTACATAACAGTTGAAAAGCACATGGGGCAGATACTTGAGCTACCCACTTGATGGCTGTGACCTTAGAAAAGTTACTTAACCCTGAGTCATAGTTTTCTCCTCTATAAGATGGGGATGATGGTACAGAGTTCCCAAGGTTCGTGGGAGAATCAAACAAGATAGCACAGGGCAATACTAGGTCTTTTTTGCAACATTTCCTTTGAAATGTCTACAGATGCTTTTAACTTTTCCAAGCACTTAAAAAAAAAACAAAACTCAATTATCCTCCAAAAAGATTTTCAGGAAAATAGGTTGGAAATAATTTATTTAAAAGCTGGTTCCATCTGGGCACAGTGGCACACGCATGTAATCCCAGAGGCTCTGGAGGCTGAGGCAGGAGGATCGGGAGTTCAAAGCCAGCCTCAGCCAAAGCGAGGCACTAAGCAACTCAGTGAGACCCTGTCTCTAAATAAAATACAAAATAGGGCTGGGGATGTGGCTCAGGGGTCGAGTGCCCCTGGGTTCAATCCCTGGTACCCCTCCCCCCAAAAAAAAGCTGGTTCCAGAAGGTTAAGAGACTTAACTAAGGTCACACACTGAGCTGCTGTCTTTCCACGTTCCCCGGGGATTTAGACACTACCAAGTGGTGTGTTGGTTCGGACAAGTCTTAAATGGCTGGGAACAGGCAGCCAGTGTTCCAAATGGGTCCCAGACCTTTTTGCTACGATGGCAGTTTTTCAGTTTCTGTGTGTCTTGATGCAGGAGAATTGTGAGGCTCATTTAGTCTGAAACCGACCAACAATCTGAGGTTTCCAGCTAGACCACTGTGACTCCAAGCCCCAGGGCGGTGACCTCTGTGCATGTTGGAAAGTTTGGCATGTGACCTGCTGAGTGTCCAGCTGTCTGTCTCCCCTCAGGTGCTGTCCAGCTACCCCATCAACAACCTGGTGGCTGCCCCCCTTGTTTACCGGATGTTGCTCCAACAGGATCTTTCCAGGTGATGGGACTTTGGGGAGGTTGGCAGGAGCCGTAGGTACATCCCCAGGCCTCCCTCATGTACATGCAAAGGTCTGTCCACCTGACCCTCTAAACACGGGTGGTCCCATGAAACCAGCCCCAGAGCTTCAAAGCACCCAGACCCCAGCTCTGGGTGGTCCAGGGGGACTTTGGCTCCCACTGGGCTGAGGGACCTTTACCTCTCTCTCTTCTTCAGACACAAGTTCCCACACCTACAGAACTGCTTTACTGGAGGGGAGACCCTGCTTCCGGACACTCTGGAGAACTGGAAGGCCCAGACAGGGCTGGACATCTGGGAATTCTACGGCCAGACAGAAACGGTACCCGCTCTCAGGGGAATCATGGGCTGGTGCACCTGGTGGGCTTTGAAGGCTCTTTGATAATAAACATATTATCCACCCTTTAGCATTCACTTATCTGAAAAAAAGAATTTATTGAGCATCTGCTGTGGGAACAAAACAGGCAAACGCCTGCTCTCATAGAGATTGCATTCTAGTGCGGGAGAGAGAAAATAAATGAATAGATGCCGCGGTAGCTGGCCCGAGAGAGCTATGGAACAGTGTGGTGAAGTAGGTGACATAGAAAATGAAGCAGATGAACTAGACAGAAGGGCTAGGGTTCGAGTCCATTTTTCTGTTACTATAACAGAAGCCTTGAGACTGGGTAATTTATTAAATAAAAAAAAAGTGATTCATGCTGGCTTATGGTTCTGGAGGCTGGGAAGTTCAAGATTGGGTGGCTGCATCCGACCATCTTCTAGAAAGGGCCTCGGGCTCCTTCAACTCAAGCTGTCAGGCACTGTAGCCAGCTGCTTCCATCTAAGTGAGGGGCGGGGAGAGGCCACCAGCAAGGCCCAACCTCACCTGCTGGGAGATCTTCTTGGAATTCTTTCTCCTCCTGCAGGGGGCCGTGGCAGAGCTGGGATGTGGGAAGAGTTTAGCAAGCTCTTGTGAGGAACAGCCTAGTCAGAGCTTCCAGCCACCCTGGGAGGGCCCTATAGGGAAAGCTTTGGGCACATGGGCACCTCCATTGTAAGGGCCCCCTCTCAGGATTCAAGCAGAATCGGTCCTATCATAGGAAGTCATCCAACAAGCATCTTTTAGGCCTGCTCAGACCGCAGGTTGGTAACTTCATAAGTTGCCGAGGGCCTGGCTAAGTCGCTGAGGCTGGCTTTGAACTCGCGATCCTCCTGCCTCAGCCTCCCGAGCCGCTGGGATGACAGGCGTGCGCCCCCGTGCCTGGCCTGTCGGATATTTTTATGATGTGGTTGTCAGTTTCTCTTGCCTGGGAGGTCATCACCGGGGAGGCTGCTTTCTGAGCAGGATTGAGGTTCCAAGAAAGGGGAGAGAGTGTTGGGGGAAGGGAAGGGCGGGCGCCAGGAACAGGTGGCGGAATCGCTCTCTCTCTCTCTCCGGCCTCTTTCTTTTTCTGTGCTCCTGGGGGCTGCTCCTGAGTCTGTGCCCTTCACAGGGAGTCACCTGCAGAGTTTCCAAGACCATGAAAATCAAGCCGGGTCGCCTGGGGACGGCCTTACCCCATTACGACGTGCAGGTCTGCTGGGGCCCCTGAGGAGGGAGACACAGAAAGCATGAACCTGTTAAGTCCTCTATTTATTAGATTTTTCATTGAGTCAAAAATAATCGAGAATAAAAGATATTAAAATAATATGGAGCCGGAGGCGAAGAGGGGAGGAGGGAGGGAGGAAGACAGGGAGGGAGAAGAAGGGAAGGTAGATTTATATTCCTACCATTCAGAGAGAACAGCTTGATGCAGCTATCAAAGTGGCTAGATAAGTACATGTGTTCTAAAAATATAAATAAGGGTAATTTTTATTGGTTTGGTTTTGGGTTTTTTTGTTTCGCTTTTGGTGCCAGGGATGGAACCCAGGCGTTTAACCACTAAGCCCTGTCCCCAGCCCCTTTTTAAAAATATCTTATTTAGAGACAGGGTCTTGCTAAGTTGCTTAGGGCCTCACTAAAGTTGCTGAGGCTGGCTTTGAACTTGCGATCCTCCTGCCTCAGCCTCCCGAGCTGCTGAGTTACAGACGTGAGCCACTGTGCCTGACTGGGTGTAACCATCTCTCTAGGTGAATGGATGCCAATGTACATCATGAATTTTAATAACTAGGTAATAGATATGTCATCGGTCAGCCCAAAGGGTGATACCCAGATTTTGACTAGTAAAATTGAGACCTTACTGAGTGGGGTGGTAGCTAAAGTTTTGCCCCTTTCCCTTCTTTATTTCTTGGGGCTGAACTGCAAGAGCTAGAATCTGTGTTTGTGGACCCGTGACCATGTGCACCGCCGTGTGCCTCTAAAGTGCAACTATTAATACTCTGTTCAGAATCATGTGTCATTACCCGTCGCCCCACTCCCCATGAGAACCGCTGACTGAGCTGCTTTCTTAGTGTCCGGTTTCATTTGGATAAAGACCCTGACATGGGCTGTCCGTCTGTGTTACACAGAAAACCTCGAGGCCTAGCGCTCTGAGAGTCAACTACTAACAAGGCAGCGGGGGGAATTTGAGACTCTCTTTGTCCATTTCCAAGGTGGCCTCACACACCATGGGAGATTTTTATGTCCCAGGGCCTCTGCAGACTCCTCCAGAGCAGGTCTCTGTCTGACCCACTCACGCGGCCACACGGGTCACCTCCTTCCAATCGGCTTCCTCCTCCAGGTCATCGATGAGGAGGGCCACGTGCTGCCTCCCGGTCAAGAGGGAGACATGGCCATCAGGGTGAGGCCCACCAAGCCCATAGGCATCTTCCTTGGCTATGTGGTAAGGACCGGTCCCCGTCCTCCTCTCTCCAGTGGGAATGCGGGGCACCAAGTGACACAAGGGGACCTCAAGTTATGAACCTCTCAAGAGGCATCGGCAAGATGTCCAGTGTCCAAGGATGGGTGCTCCGCCAAGGGGAAGGGCTGCCCCTTCTCCCCGAACAACCTCAGCCCGCCTCTGGGACCTGGGTCACGGGCCTGCCCTACACCCTACACCCGCACCTTCCGGAGGTCTGAAGCTTGGAGACTTCCCCGTGGCGGGGGGCATCCCGAGCCTCAGGCCCCCGGAAGGTGCAGGTAGAGAGGGTCGTTGAGTCCAGGCGGCTCACCTGCAGGTGAGGACGGTGACGCCAGAGATTACCAGAGTCCCTGACGCCCAGGGCTACTGGGAAGCAGGCAGGGAAGACCCTCGACCCACGCATCCTGGCCCCCAGGCTGGTTGATTAACAAGTGTCCCCTTTTATTGAGCTGGTACTACAAGGTTAGCGTGTCCTAAAGCACCTCACCTACATCAGTCATTCAGTCCTCCTGGTCACCCTACGGACGCTCTGGATCCAGCTTGCTGAATTCAGAACCCTGCTTCCCCGTTCACTGGGTGATCTTGGGCAAGGCCCTGGGCTCTCCTGACTCGGTTTCCTCGTGACATGAGGAAGGAAGCTAAGCTAGTAGTTCAGAAATCTGGCTTCTGGTCTCAGCTCTATCACCTAGAATGGCTGTTGAGCCTCAGACAATCCTCTTGACCTCTCTGATTTTTCAGTGCCCTCACATTCCCCAGTGAGGGAGCTAGGCTAAGGCTCCTCTGTGACACTGTCTAACCCAGTAACTGAACACCCAATTTGAAGCCCACACGCCCCCCCGCAGCTGAACAAGACAGGAAGGTGCACGGAGGGGAGGAAGCCCGAGCCTCAGCTGCCTGGAGGGGCCCCGCACATTGGAGGGAACCAGGAAAAGGACAGAATCAACCAGAAACTCGAGGACAGTATCAGGGAGTGAGCAGAGTTGAGGCTGTCCAGAAGGGAGGCTGAAATCAATGGGGAGAAATCCCCTAGCGTACAGATGGAAGAGTGCATCAATATTACCCATCAGACCAGACCCAGGGGAATAAGTGAGAGACCCTAGCTGGACGAACTGCAATAAAGGAGGAAAATTCAGTTGGATCAGGGATCCAGGGTGGGTGGGTTCAAGGCAGGTCCACCCTGTGTAGTTGTTCAGGTTGCCAACTGCTCAACCGGCACATCTGCTCATGGTAGCCCTGGGACAGGGACTTAGACTTGGCAGGTACAACGACTTGCTCTTTGTGGTCACCAGGACAATCCCCAGAAGACCGCAGCCAATATTCGCGGGGACTTTTGGCTTCTGGGGGACCGAGGAATCAAGGATGAAGATGGGTATTTCCAGTTCGTGGGGCGGGCAGACGATATCATTAATTCCAGCGGGTGAGCTTGGCTTCTGGGCTGGGAAGGGCATTCTGGACCTTTATCCTGGCGGGTTCTGTACTTTGTGGATGACCTAGAGGCTGAGTCCAGTGTTCACCGAAGGACTGGTCCTTCCACAGGTACCGGATTGGGCCCTCGGAGGTGGAGAACGCCCTGCTGGAGCACCCTGCCGTGGCTGAGTCGGCTGTAATCAGCAGTCCAGACCCCGACCGAGGAGAGGTGATGGGGTGTGCACAGCCTAGGCCCGCACCTTGGCTGTGTGACCTTGGGCAAGCTACTTAGCCTCTCTGTTCTTCAGCTAGCTCCTCTGTAAGATGAGGGGCTGCTACGAGGACTGTGTATGTTGATATTTGTAAAGTGTTAGGACAAGGTCAAGCACCTAGTCAGCTCCACCTGTATGCAGACTCTTATTATGGGAAGACAAGGAATTTCCTCCTGCTGTTTGGCATTTGAATCAGAACCTGATTCCTGACCAAGAGAACAGAGGAGGATTTGGAGCGAGTGATGGGATCCTTCAGCCAGGTGGTTCCCGGTGGGACTCTGAGAATAAAGAAAGACCCTACCAAATATGGGGAGGTGCCATTGAGGGGCCACCCAGGTGGTGGCTGCGGGGCCTGGCAGGATCCCAGGAGACGACTGGTCCCCTATGCGCCCTTCTCTCCTCTCCCTGGCTGTAGGTGGTGAAGGCATTCGTGGTCCTGGCTCCCGAGTTCCTGTCCCATGACCGGGACCAGCTCACCAAGGAGCTGCAGCAGCACGTGAAGTCGGTGACGGCCCCGTACAAGTACCCGAGGAAGGTGAGCCTTCCCACTCCCGGGGAAGGAGGCCGAGAACCAGGCCTCTCGGCCCAAAATCCCTCCTTGGTTGTGACCAGGAAAGCCACCCAAGACAACCCAACAACCATCCACTGAGGACTAGAAACCAGACTCAGTCTTTGACCAACTCCAAATGGGAAGAAAATGCCAAATGTTCTCATGCAAGCGAGTGCCAGCCAACCCTGGCCTGTCCCCCTCTGTCCCTGCCCAGGGGTCTTGCTGGGACATCCGGGGCTCTACAACTCTCAGTTGCAGGTGGCAGAAAGTTAAGTTTTCGTTCCTGGCTCACACGAGAGGACGGTCCAGGAGAGGGTGTTCCATCCTGGCTGATCCCCGGCGTCCGGACAACGCAGTCAGGAGTGTCTCTCGCGCACCTCGACCCTCCTTCTCTATTAGCCTCATTTCTTGACTCGTTCTCCGTTTGTGGCTCCAAGAAGCTCCAAACACACACCCATTCTTAGCAGCTTAGCAAATCCCAGGGGGAAGAGATCAGGGATGTCCCCACAGGCCCCAGCAAAGGCCCAGGGCTGACGCTTGTAGGAGAACTTGGGGCTGCGCGCCCAGGGTTAAATGGACCCTTGGAACCAGGCGATGGATCCTCTGACCGGCCAGCTCTGGGTCATGTGGTCCCCGGGAGGGTAAGATGTCCTGTATCCGTCTCCGGCTGATCTCTGGGGAGGGAACTGGGGTATCGGATGTCAACATGGCAAGAGAAGCCGGTTCACAGGTTTGGGTACAAGGTAAGGGCTGGTTCCAGGGAAAGGAAACAAAGATGTTTTGAATCTGGAGCAGAAGGTGACAGAGACCCTGGTGAGCCCCTTGGATGGGCGGGTGACCCGATGGCCACCTCCTCAGCACACGCTCCTTGACATGGGGGTTTCCTGAGAAGCAGACCCCCGGGGCGGAGACCGGCACGCAAGAGGCTTCTTAGGGGGTGTTGGGGGTCAACTCCAGGGAGGGGGACAGGCAGGGAGCAGGACTGGGGGGGGAAGCTGCTCTGGGATCCAGTCTCGGGAGGACCTCGGCCAGCCCCACCGGAGGGTCTGAGGTTAGGACGAGCTTCCAGAATGATCCGGAGCCAGGCCCCACCACTTTACAGACCCCTGTAGATCAGGGGTGGGTGCGGGCTGCCCCCTGAGCCTGGGCAGGACAGCTGTCCATAGCTGGGACCATCCCCCAAGGGGGCTGCAGCGGTGGTGAGTCCTTCTTCCTGAAGGGGGACCTCGCTGCCCATCTGAGTCCCCCCTGCGGGCTCTCAGCCTCAGCTCAGAGCGAGGCAGCCTCTCGGAACAGGCCTTGGGTCCAAATTCCAACTCCCCCTACTTACCCCGTGACCTCTCTGTTCACTGACATTTAAAATGGGGCTAATGATTACCGCCACAGGTTGTCGGGGATGAGTTAACATCTATAGGACATTAAGCACTTGGAAGAGTGACTGGCGCCTAAGAAGCATTTCCTGAGTCCGGTTATTTTTTTTGTTTGCAGGGGGCAGGGGGCAGGGGTATTTTACCACTGAGCTACCCCAGCCCTTTTGTTGTTGTTGTTGTTCTGTTTTGTTTATTTTTTGAGACAGGGTCTTGCTAAGTTTGCTCAGGGCCTGGCTATGTTGCTGAGGCTGGCCTCAAACTTGCTATCCTCCTGTCTCAGCCTCCAAGTCACTGGGATTCCAGGCACGGGCCACCACCACACCCAGTACTTTTAAAGGAGACTAGAAACCAAAACACACCAAACGTAGTTATGAATTCTGAACTGTAATAGAATGTTCTGGAAGATCTAGTAGAAGGGCCCTATCCCATAGTTTACAGCATATTACTTAAGTGTCCCCCCCTAGATGAAGTCCTTCCCTCCGTCTTTCCTCTAGAATTCCCAGGGCAGCAGGTTCTTTTGACCAACCGTGCCAAAGACAGTGCTACCTCGCATCAACCCACATGTCCACTCTGACTTACTTCCCATCTCTGTCTACCCCGCGGGGGACCAAGGGTCCATAGTTTAGGCCACATTGTCTTTGTTGAAGCTCCTCAACTTTGCCTCTGAATACTAAAGTGACCACAGACAGGACAGTACTGCCCCCTCGTCTGCAGGGGATAGGCTCTAAGAAACCAGACAGCACCAACCGGACAGGTAGACTACGTTTTTTGGTTTTTTTTTTCCCTATACATACCTACTTATGATAAAGAAAAACTTAAAATTCGGACACAATAAGAAATTTAACCACAACAATAATAAATCAATTATAACAATTTACTGATACAAAAACTATTTAAATGTATGAATGGTTGATTTCCAGAATTTTCCACTTGATCTTTTCGGATCACGGTTGACCACAGGTGACCGAATCCATGGAAATCAAAATCGTGGATAAGGAGGGACTACCGTATCTGGAGGAGTAGGTGTGGCTGTGTTTTATTTAGGGACAGGACGAGGACTGGATTTTGCCCCCAAGCTGTTGTTTCTGACCCCTGACCCCAGGGTCTGAACAAACTCCTTTCTCATCAGTCAGTGTTATCTATGGAAGAAATCTCACTTCCACTGCCAAGATACTCTTTCTCTGTCGGGATGCCTGGGGTGGTTACTTTTATTGAGCTTTGAAACGTCTGACTCCCAGACCAGGGCCGTGGTCAGCTGAGCCCTAAAACTGGAAGTCTCCATGGTTTATCTTCATCTGTATCTTAGTACCCAGGGTTATTAGACATGGAGGGTTCTCACCTTCCAACGCTGCCTTTAACAGGTGAAGATAGTGAAATTGGAGAAAAGCAGATCAATAGGAAATGATCTGAGAAATTGAATGAAAAACCAGGTGTTGGCCAGTGCGGTGGCGCACGCCTTTAATCCCAGCAGCTCAGGAGGCTGAGGCAGGAGGATTTCAAACCCAGCCTCAGCAACTTAGCGAGGCCCTGAGCAACTCAGCGAGACCCTGTTTCTAATAAAATATTTTGGAAATGGCTGGGGATGTGGCTTGGTGGTTAAGCACCCCTGGGTTCAGTCCCTGGTACTAAAAACAAAACAACAACAACAGGTGTTCTGACTTGAGCCATCTGCTCTTCCTCCTCCAGATCGATAACAGCTGACATTTCTGAGCGCTGGCCTCTGTGCCAAACCCAGTTCCTTCTCTTGCTTCTCCTCTGAGTGACAGTTGGTTGGAGACCAGAGTTCTAGACTTTTCTGCCCTGTTCTAGCCACCCTCTCCTTGCCCCGAGGCACTTTCTGAAATTTCCTGTTGCACACAGAGATGTTTCTGGAAATTTCCCAAGTTCTGTCCTCACGCCTCCCGGAGCCTCCAGCCTCAGGATTCCCCGTCACAGAAACTCCTCTGAAAAATCCAGCCCCTCTGTGTCCTGACCCACCTGGGTCTCTTTTTTCCCCACAGCTGGAGTTTGTCCTGGACCTACCCAAGACCATCTCAGGGAAAATCGAACGAGCAAAGCTTCGAGCCAGAGAGTGGAAGACATCTGAGCAAGCCCGGGCCCAGTGAGACCCCCACCGCCGTCACTCACTGGGGTGTTACAACAACCCCATTTTTTCAGTACCAGTTTCTGTGTAGCTTTCCATTACGATAACAAAATACCTGAGAAAAATCAACTTATAAAGATAAAATGTTTATTTTGGCTGATCGTTTTGAAAGTCCCCTCCCCTTTCCCTTCCCTCGAGGGCTTCAGTCTCCCTGTGAGGATTTTCGTTTTTTTTTTTTTTTCCTTGATTATTAGTATTGCCTTGTTAGATGCTGAAAGAAGAAAGAGAAAAGGGATGAGAGGGGAAATAAGAGGGTAACAGGAAAAGGAAATTAAAATGTCGTGGAAAGATTCACCAGCAAGGGAAAGCAATTGGAAAATAAGTCCCTAAAAATAAATACTGGCACTTTCCATGAGCCAGGCACAGTCTGAGACACATCATCAACCCCTTTGCTTCATCCCTGGTCACAGCTGTGGTGACCGTGAAGGTGCCGGTCCCCAAGCCCCATGATTTTGATATCATCTGATCTTCCTAGAATCAAATAATAAAATCATTTTTAAATCAAGACCCTGAGGATGGTTTGGGGGGAAGACAAAGAATGAGAGGGATGTCTCCAGCCCCTTGTGGGGTAGGGAACCCGCGGAGTAGACAGCAGGTGGCGCTGTTGAAGAACGGACCCCCCCAGGCTCAGTGGCTGGGCCCCTTGGGTCCAGGAGGGGACAGTCTGGAGACGGAGGGTGAGCCTTCCTGGCAGGCTGGGGTAAGGGGAAGTGGGCTCTGACTTCTCTTGGGAACTCTTAGCAATGACAGCAACGACAGTGGTATTCAGCACTTACCCAGCACTTGCTGCGAGTTAGACACCAAGCGATTGTCGTTCCCGTTGTACAGTGTGGGGAATGGGACTTGGAGAGGTTTAGAGAAACTCCCCGGGCCGTGAGTGACAGGGCCAGATTCTAACCCAGCCTGTCCTGTGTAACACCTGTGCTTTTCAATGGCCCTGCCTACCCATCGATGGAGTCCATCACCTTGAAGCTCAGCCTCCTACAAAGTCCCAGGGATAAACCACGTGAATTCTGGTTCTTTGTCACAGTGTAAGGGGCCTGGCCTCCAGTGTCCTCATTTCCATCTGAGACTTCATCAGCAGAGCCTTTACTGTGCCCATTTCTATCAGCACCCTTGCCACCTGAGCCCCTTCCACAATCACCCATTAAGCTCCACTTACAGAATTCTAAACTTTCTTTGGCCTGTTCCTCCAAACCTTTATGAACTCTTTTGAACCAACTCCAAAGGCCCCTCCACATCATTAGGTATATAGTTACAACAACCCCATTTTTCAGTACCAGTTTCTGTATTAGCTTTCCATTACTATAACAAGATACCTGAGAAAAATCAACTTATAAAGACAAAAATGTTTATTTTGGCTGATAGTTTTGGAGATTCCAGTCCCCCATCAGTTGGCCGTGTTTGGGGGCTGGGGCCAAGCAGCACACCACGGTAAGAGTGCGTGGCAGAGAATAAACTGCTCACTTCATGATCCAGGAAGCAAAAAGCATGTGAGAAAGGAGCCTTGGAACCACAATATCCTTCAAGAGCACATCCCAACAACCTCAGTACCTCCATTAGGCTCTTCGTCTTAAAGGGTCCACCACCCCTCATGGGACCTTTAGTGGACCCTTGGTGGACAGTGAGCACCCACACTTGAGCGTCCCACCCTCAGACTCAATGCTATCTTTACTACATAAGAGGGAAGCTCACACATTCGTGCCTGGAAGAGGGACGTCGCCTCATTACAGTCTTATAACGGCATCAGCTAAACTTTAAGAAGGTCAGAAGAGGTGGTCATTGAATCCGTCACACAACAAAGAGTCTGAACTTCCTCGAAAGAGCAGCACCATTAAAGTGGGTCGAGGAACACAACGAACTCAGTCCACTGTGCGATTTAAAACATTGACCCTGGTCGCTGAACTGTGAAAGGATTCAGGGTGGAACTGAGAGGTGTTTAGAATCTCTTCTTGGAACTTGGAAATCTCATGACCAAGGGAAAGTGGGCCCTGGAGGATGACGCCCAGGTTGTGGGGTTAGGTAAACGGATCCACGGTTCTAACACTTTCTGAGAGGGGAGAATCTGGAGGAGAAGATCAGAGATGAGAAAGTGATGTGACTCCATTTTTGAAAATAAATAACAGCAGCTTCCACCTCAAGGCCTGTCCAAGGAAGGGGGGGATGACCTTTGTCCTTGGAAAAACCCACAGAGCCTTTCTAGGTACATATCCACCCTGCTGAGTTGTTTGTCTGCAAATAACAGGAGAGATCTGTGGTGACAGGTGTCCCTGACTCAGTTAGGCTAGGTGAAGACCCCTAGCAACCGCCCCCCCCCGCAACCACCAATCAGCATGAGACAGGGAAATACCTGGGATGCCCGATGACCCCCCAGTAGTTTATGGTGGTTGATAACATGTTGGGAAACCATGTAGTTCAGCACGTACACCCCTCGTGGCCTAAACCAATCAGTTCAAAGGAATCCCCCTCTTGTACTAACCAATCACCCCTATCCAACTTGTTCCTGCCAGTGAATGTGCTCATCAATGTTAAGAGCTGTTGTGTGACTTTCCTGCCAGGACTCACTCCCTGGGACCGCTGTGTTGGGAACGGTTGTGAGTCCAGGCTCGAGCTTGCAATAAAGAGTCTTGTGTGATTGCATCGGATTCGGCTCCTGGAGGTCTCCTGGGGTCCCACGAATCCGGCATTACAGAGACACTGAGTTTCTCTGTGGCTTGGCCCATGTAGCTTGTCCATGTAAAACCAAGATTCACGTGTATTTAGTAATCAGTGGGATATTTATGAACTCAGAGTTCAAGGTCTCCAGTGTAGTTTGGGGTATCAGCATCCACACAGAGAATGACCAAGATGGACCAGGAATGCAGACAGAGCAGAAAGGTGGTCAAAACCAGCTACCCCTCCTCTGAGTGAGGAGGGGTCCTTGGAGAATAGTAATATTTAAAGGATAGAAAGAGGACGGAGATCCTGTGAATGATATGGAGAAAGAAGGTGCAGAAGAAAGCAGGTGTCGGGTCAGAAAGATGGCTGAGAGCAGTACAAGCACAGATCAGCATGGCCAAGGACATCCATAAGTAAGAATTCAATTTGGTGACAAAACATTTCAGGGGACATCTCCCAGTGTCCATCCCCCCCCCAACCAGAAAGTGCCATTAGATACTTTAGGATAAAAACCTGATAGTTGCCGGGCGCAGTGGCACATGCCTGTAATCCCGGCGGCTCAGAAGGCTGAGGCAGGAGGATCGCGAGTTCAAAGCCAGCCTCAGCCATGGTGAGGCGCTAGGCAATTCAGTGAGACCCTGTCTCTAAATAGAATACAAAATAGGGCTGGGGATGGGGCTCAATGGTTGAGTGCCCCTGAGTTCAATCCCCAGTACTAAAAAAAAAAAAAAAGATAGTTGCTGACTTATCAGTGAAAGAGGGAAAGAGAGAGGAGCATCTAAGGTGGTGTGTTCTTTTAATAAACATAAATGGGAAAAAAAAAAGCCAAAGAAAAGATAAAAACTAAAGGAAGCAACTTGTGGAGGAGGGAGGAGCTCGGGCAACGTGGCAAACACTCATCTCTCCCACCAGCAGCCAGTGCCCCAGCCTCTGCTCACCACCCTGTTTCTGGCTAAAAGATCCCCAACTTTGATCAGAACAGGAGTGAGCCCCACTGCGAGGGCATGGAGTATGGTTGGTCCCAGCCAGTCCTCCTCCAGCTCTCAGAGTGAGAAGAATTTTATTTATTCATTTTTATTTTTTAACAATCCTAATTGGCTTCATTTTTAATTTTAAAATCAGGTAACACTTCATTCCATAAAACAGAATCAGTTTTCCTATGATCCAAGCACTCATCAAAAATAATTCGATGAGTTAGCATCAGATTATTTGTTTTGCTTACACAAAATAAGGACAAGGGAACTTCACTATTTCGCCAGTCGAGAATGGCTGCTCTCCCCCCAATCCAGATTTCTCTGGGAGGACCAGATGTGTCAGCTTGGTTTGATTGACTCCATGTTGTTTTTTCCCCCCTGGAATATTGTCTCTGTTGAAAAACTGGCTTCACAAAGAAGGTGGCAGCAAGAAAATTTCAGAATCCAAAGCTTAAAAATAAGTCTTGGGGAGTGTGGGGTTATTTTCTGTCTCTGAGGGGGATCATCTGGTGTCTGAGGCTTGGGACAGAGGCAAAGTCCCCAGCCGCCCATCCAGGAGATGTCACTCTCAGTAACGTCTGGTGTCCTGACCTTTGCTCGCCCAGGATGACGGTGGGTAAGGAGCAACAGGTCACAGGGGCCCCCTGACCCTCTGGGAGACAGAGCTCTCCCTGGGCAGACCCTGGGGGCTGAGGGTCAGTGGGCCAGGGGAGAATCAACGACTGTCCCCGCCTGTGGTCCCTGAGGTCCTGGGGCAGGGATGCAGGAGGCAGCCAGTGTCATGAGACGTCCCCGTCCCCAGCCAGGCCAGGTGCCTGGCTAAGCGAGGAGAAAGATGGTGTCCCTCATCAGGGCCTGGCCCCTGCGCCTGGTCTCACTTCCTCCCTGGCACCGCCTGGAAGGGGAGGAAGTGACACCCAGGGGAAGGCCGGAAAGTGAGGCCACTGTCACATTCAAGTTCAGGGTGTGACAGCTCAGTCTGCCCCCAACAGGCCCCGTACTTGGCTCCCCTTCATGGGCCACGTCCCTTCTGAGAGTCACGCCCTCCCTTTACAGGCACAAGGACCCAGAAGTTCCAGGGACACGCCCATGTTTAGGCCCCCGGATCCGGAAGTGCCTCAGACATCCATGTTTAGGCCCCAGGATCCGGATCTGGAAGTTCCAAATGTGCACGTCCATGTTTACGCTCAGGGATCCAGAAGTTCCTCAGGCACACGTCCATGTTTAGGCTCTAGGATCCGGAAGTTCCTCAGGTGTCCATGTTTAGGCCCCAGATCTGCAAGTTCCTCAGTCCTCCATGTTTAGGCCGTAGCATCTGGAAGTTCCTCAG